GAGCAGCGTTAGAACTAAACTGTGCAGAGCAGCGGCCCTCCAGGAACTGGAATTGACACCGATGATCCAAGGTCTCATTCACAGCGAACACGTCTATGCTTCTAGAAATGTGAGCAGCAGTGTTCAGGAATAAGCTGAAAACAATCCCAGCATAAAGCAGGAGGGTATATGGACACACACTCACTCACACACACACACACACACACACACACACACACACACACTCTGAGTGCCTGCAAACAGAAACCCGTAATGTAACCCCGCCTCTGAGCTCTTCTGATTGGTCCACTGCTGTGACAGAAAGCGAGCTCTAACTTCACACGGTGTCTGAAAACACGACGCCCATCTGCGCGGTCGCACACACACACTCATCCATCAATCAATCACACGTTTAGATTTTAAAACAATGTAAGATCATCACACTGTAGGGAAAAACACATTCTGTGTGAACGACCCCCAAGACAGATGAAGTCCAGCAGGGCTCTGAGGTGTGGTCCTGGTCTATGAGCAGCAGTGGAGGATGGAGAGGCTCCTGCAGTAATGCGAACACTCTGCTTCTGTAGGTGTGGATGAAGGGTCTGGAGGAACTCATCACCCTCACACCGACACTGACTCCTCTACTGCGCTTACAGGCTTCCTTTATATGAAAATACAGAGAATACCAAACACGTGATGACAGAGCTGCATGACGCTGGATAATGAAACTTGGGGATATGTGGATATCAGAGATGGCGAGAGTACACACACGCTTTACTCCAGCAGAGGTGCAGATGCTCGTGTGTAAACCCCTCTGCTGAAGCTCACGCCTCCAACATGTCCTTCAGTGTAAAGTCCCCATTACTGCTGCATGCTGTAGTTTCACTAGGTGGGTGAATATCCAGTTTCCCCCATGTATCATCATCCTGACGTAAACTCACAGTTTAATAAAAAGACAACAGCTGCCGTTCATGTTCACACACTCTAAAGATTATTCTGTGGGCTGTATATCTTTATAAATAATGTCTTACATTTTACACACAATTCTGTCTAAAATATAATGATTTTTTGATTTTATATTTGAATATTTTATTGAATATATATTTTCTTTTGCTAAAATAAATACATATTTGAGTGAAAACTGTTTTTCTGCATTAGCAGCTCTCATAAATAACCCATTAATTCAGTGTTTTCCCCAGGGTATTGTGGAGATTTTATTTACTGGATAAACATTTATTCTGTTAATACATTTATTCTATGCTAAAAACTACATACATAGGCATGACTATAACTAGGGCCAGACAGAATCTGCGCACGTTTTTTTCTATTTCTGCTGAGAATTTTGGTAAAAATCTGCGGATTTCTGCTGAATTATTTTGGGAGTATCAAGTAGAGTATCATAACTAAAACCTTAATATATGAAATAAAAAAGTAATAAATTACTGAATAAAAACTGAATAAAATTAGAGTTATACATTTACTCAAGTAAATAAACAGAATTAATAATCGGCTAAAAATCTGCGTAATTCTGCGTGCGCAGATTCCGTGTGGGCCTAACTATAACCTACAAAACATGTGCATGATCTTTTATTCACGTGATAAATACAGGATGTTTTGCATTATATTTTCATTCATGAATTGCCCAGTAAAGTTACTCTTGATCTTGTAAAACATTTGCTAAAACAATTAATTGAAGATTAATATGCCTGTATGTAAAATCATAGAGTCAATAAATTAATAAAAAACTGTTCAACAGCATCAGTTCTGTATTAGGAAATATGAACACACTGAAAATAAAGGAAATATATCTCAATGCAGAAAGTTTTTATAAATGTACTAAATCTACAAATCTTCACAAAAACACACTTTATTTTGCGGTGTTAGACTGAAAGACCAGAGATATCCCGTGCAGTTTGACCGCAAGTGGACAAAATGCTCTAGTCTAAACCTCAAGCATTGAAACAGCATATTTATGAACTGGAACGTGTCTCTCTTGTTTATCTGTGATCTGATCAAGCAAAGGTGTCTTATTACCGTGTAAACAGGGCGGATCAGTCATGTTATATTCCCGACTCCCTCCGTCTCATCTGTGTAGTCATCCTAGCCTTTCTCATAGTAATCTTCAGATACTGTGCAGGATATAGCCTTGGTTGAAAAAGTCGTGCACTGCGGTGCACAATGACGAAAATAGATTGACTGCATGTAAAAAGGTGCTCAAATTGTGCAATGACAAGAATTAATCTAGATCACGCAACCAAACACATGAAAACGAAAGTCATGAGCCCGATTTAGAAATGTAGAGAGTAGAAAGTACTCATAATTGGGTAAAAATGGAAGGAGTAAAAATTTGGCAAAAAATAAGTAGTGGAGGAAAGTACTGAAAAATCTACAGTAAGGAAGTGTTTGTGTTCTGTCACTCCCCATGGCTATGATGGCTATTCTGCGATGTAGATCATCACGCCATGAATACAGTTTCAGCAGATGACTCGAATATCTGTATTTGTACAGAATTGATCAATTTATGTTGATTTGGATGATCACATGGGCATAAAATATAATAAACCATCTATAAGAGCAGATCAACAACGTACAGAAACAGATCAAAACTAAACAAACAGTGTCTTATGAGGAGTCTAACAGTATTGAGGACCCGTAATTACATAATCCAGAGTGAAACAACACTGCATAGACATTCATTCTGTTTCAGCTTAGTCTCTTTATTTATCAGGGGTCACCACAGCGGAATGAACCACCAACTATTCCAGCATATGTTTCACTTTCTGGCCGCAACCCAGTACTGGGAAACACCCATACACACTCATTCACACACACACACACACACACTATGGCCAATTTAGATCAATCCCCCTATAGCGCATGTGTTTGGACTGTGGGGGAAACCGGAGCACCCGGAGGAAACCCACACCAACACGGGGAGAACATGCAAACTCCACACAGAAACACCAACTGACCCAGCCGAGACTCAAACCAGCAGCCTTGTTGCTGTGAGGCGATTGCGCTAACCACTGAGCCACCATGCCAACCCCTAACTACAGAGTCTCCACTCTATAAATATTCAATAAAACTAATTGTTAAAATCATAATTACAGTCACTCAAGCGGTTTTAAACCTGTAGATTAACTTCTTTAATCTGTTCAATACAAAAAAGAAGATATTTTGAAGAATGTTGGTAAACATTGACTTCCACAGTAAAAAAGATAAATGCTATGGAAGTCAATGATTTCCAGCATTCTTCAAATGATCTTCTTTTGTGTTTAACAGAATAAAGAAACTCTTAAAGCGTTAAAAGCACTGGGGGGTGAAATATCTAAGTTGAACTGGAAAAGCATTAACAAGATTTTTAGAAAACACAAAACCTTTTTCCTTCAGGTATTTAAGGAAATGAAGGTGTAGAGAATGTTTAGTGAATCTCTGGCTGATGTTTGAGTTCTCCAGACTCCAGCAGGTCTACATAAATATAGCTATACCAGTGTGTAAAAGCAGCAGACAGAGAGGAACTCCAGCACGATCATCATCAGCTTTACAATAATAACTGCAGAAACACACACACACACACACACACACACAGACACACACAGACACACACAGACACACACAGACACACACAGACACACACACACACACACACACACACACACACACACACACACACATACACATACACATACACACACACACACACACACACACACACACCTGATTTCCAGAAACGCCCTGTGAAGGAGAGAGAGCAACATCTCAACATTTATTGAAGAGGAGACCGAGCTCACACACGTTCATCATATTCAGGGTTAACTTAAACCTGCATTTAAAATAAAACACTGCAGAGATGCTCCTCTTCCTCTTCTCTTCTAGTCCAAATATTCACATTTTTGTTTATTGATTGTGATAATTGTTCTCATTACCAAAATGCCTTACACAACTGACAACCATCTGTTTTACATATACTTATCTATACACTCAGCGGCCACTTTATTAGGTACACCTCACTAGTACCGGGTCGGACCCCTTACACCTTCAGAACTGTCTTAATCCTTGGTGTCAGAGATTCATCAAGCTGCTGGAAATATTCCTCAGAGGTTTTGCTCCATATTGTCATGATAGCATCACACAGTTGCTGCAGATTTGTCGGCTGCACATCCATGATGCCAATCTCCCGTTCCACCACATCCCAAAGCTGCTCTATTGGATTGAGCTCTGGTGACTGTGGAGGCCATTTGAGTACAGTGAACTCATCGTCATGTTCAAGACACCAGTCTGAGATGATTGAGCTTTATGACATGCTGCGTTATCCTGCTGGAAGTAGCCATCAGAAGATGGAGACACTGTGCTCATAAAGGGATGGACATGGTCAGCAGCAATACTCAGGTAGGCTGTGGCGTTGATGCTCAATTGGTACTAATGGACCCAAAGAAAATCTCCCCCACACCATTACACCACCACCACCAGCCTGAACCGCTGATACAAGGCAGGATGATCCATGCTTTCATGTTGTCTGAGTCGAGCATCTGAATGTGTCAGCAGAAATGGAGACTCATCAGAGCAGCAACGTTTCTCCAATCTTCTATTGTCCAGTTTTGGTGAGTCTGTGTGAATTGTAGCCTCAGTTTCCTGTTCTTAGCTGACAGGAGCGGCACCCGGTGTGCTCTTCTGCTGCTGTAGCCCATCCGCCTCAAGGTTGGACGTGTTGTGTGTTCAGAGATGCTCTTCTGCAGAGTTCGGTTGTAACGAGTGCTTATTTGAGTTACTGCTGCCTTTCTATCAGCTGGAACCAGTCTGGCCATTCTCCTCTGACCTCTGGCCTCATCAACAAGGCATTTGCGCCCACAGAACTGCCGCTCACTGGATATTTCCTCTTTGTCGGAGCATTCTCTGTAAACCCTAGAGATGGTTGTGCGTGAAAATCCCAGTAGATCAGCAGTTTCTGAAATACTCAGAGCAGCCCGTCTGGCAGCAACAACCATGCCACGATCAAAGTCTCTTAAATCCCTTTCTTCCTCATTCTGATGCTCCTCTGACCTGCAGCAGATTGTCTTGATTATGTCCACATGCTGAAATGCAGTGAGCTGCTGCCCTGTGATTGGCTGATTAGATTTTTGCGTGAACCAGCAGTTGGACAGTGTACCTAATAAAGTGGCCAGTGAGTGCATTTTTAACATGATTCTGATGTAGAGTCTGCACATGCACTGAAATAGAAAGTAATTAATTTCCTAAATAAACACTTAATAAACGCTGGTTGCAGTAATGACACACAGAAAGTTTCAGAAGGAATGAAAACATCTGTGATTATCAACTAAAGAAAGCATGCAGTTAAACCATCTTACATGAGGCAGAAAACTGATGTGAAATATAGCAGAATCGCATTAACAGCACATAAGCAAACTTCGCTGTGACTTTAAGCAGTCTCTCTGAGGCTACAGGCTGCTCGCCGTCAGACGGATTTAACACCAGGGACTTTTAATTAAATTTCCCAGAGTTCCTTTCCATTCACAGCAGCGCTCCAGAGCCCAAAACAGAGAATTAAACACAGAAACACAGAAAACAGTCTACCTGAAACTCCTCATCTTCATCCTTCTGACGCAGCAGAGAATACAGAAACATGACAGAGAGAGAGAGAGAGAGAGAGAGAGAGACACTGGCTAACACTGAACTGAGCACAGAGACTCCAGCAGTGATTAATGATGCTGACCGACAACCACAATATTAGAAAAGCCGGGAAAGAGAAAGAGAGAAAAAGAGAGAGAGAGAGAGAGAGAGGGGGGGAGACTATATATTGTTATTGCTTTGAAAACACTGTTATATTTGACCGTCATGCCAATAACAAATAAAGCTGACTTTAACTACAATTAACTTTACAAAAACTCCACTTAAAGGACACCTATTATGCAGAGATGACTTTAATAAGACGTTTAACTCCAGTAGTGTGTGTGTGTGAGCAGTGTGTGAGTATCTCCAGCAGCCTCTAATGCTCAACATGAGTGAATTGTGTTTATTATAATCAGACTTGATGACTGAAACTCTTTGATTGACATTCTCCCTTAGTACGTGTCATCAATCCCCGCCCACTAGTGCCCATCTCATTAGCATATCCAGCAGGCCTGAGTGAGAAGCAGCCGTCTGTCCATTAGCCATTAGAGTGTTTGAGCTGCTAAAGATGATGTCAGCATAGACTAAGAGGATTATAGATGTGCAGTTCTAGATGAACAGAGACAGGAGCGACAGAGACTGACAGAAGCATCAACACACACTGATGATACACTTTGTAAATGGAGCTCATGACCTAGTGATGGAGCTGCAGAAATGCTCATTTTCATCATGCAATGATTCCCTATGAAGCTCTAAACATGCAGATGGAGATGTGTGTATCTGTAAAGCTGACACCACACACACTGCAAACTTTACACCTTCTGCTGATGATAACGGCTTCACAATGACATTATTGAGGAGAAATGACACACAGAGCACAGATATGAGCTCTGCTGATAAAACACATGTAGAATACAGCTCTCAAACCGCCATAAACACACACACACACACACACACACACACACACAGATAACAGCGCTGACTTTATGAAGCGGTCACAGATAACACACACTAGTGCTGGGTGATTTGACAGAAATCTCATATCACAATACAATTAACTCACAATATAGAACCCCTTCAGTAATGTCAGTCAGTCAATAGTTTATTTACACTGACCACATGTGGAGTTTGCATGTTCTCCCCGTGTTGGTGTGGGTTTCCTCCGGGTGCTCCGGTTTCCCCC